GGGGCCAGGTGCTGGGTACGATGACCCTGGATGGCGAGCCGCACTGATGGTTCTTCAGCGAGCAGTGTTGTCTTGGGTGTTGGCGGTGTGCTTTGACCATGTGGGTGGCGAGGTGTGCTGTGGCGGGTGGTCATGGAGAGGATGTCATAGGTTTTTGCAATGAAGCTATGTTCTGTATCTAGAGTCCCTGATCCGTTGTGGTGGGTTTGGTGGCCTGAGTTCCCATGTTGTGGTGCATGAAAGGGGGCAAGTGAAAGCTTACTGTCTCCATGCCGATAGTGGCAGCGCTTCCGGGGTGTCGCGTTCCTCTTGGGGATCCAATCTCTCTCCTTTCCCTCTGACGCCCGGGGGTGAAAACCCTTTGTCTGCCTCGGTAGATGTGGCGGTGGCGCTGTTTTGTGTCATGACCCTATAGGGGACATTGCCAATGAGTGTGGGTGTCTCTAAGTCGCGGTAGCGTGTCTACTTTGCATCTTCTTGGCGACTTGCTGGAGGCGTTTAGTAGTGCACTCTTGGTGCTTTTTAGCGCACTTGGCGTGTTTTGTGTGTTTCTCTTTTGATCGACCTCTGGGAATTTCCTCAATACCATGTACCGTTCGGCCATTTGGCTTTATCTACAAAGCGGGGCGAGAGTCTGTTTCGAAGTATCACACTAGTTGATTTTTTCAGTTTTAAAAAAGAATGGTTTATTGGAAATCATTTTCTATAGCTATAACAATATAGAAAGGGCTAGTTGCGATCCAAACAATCTAAATCATCCAAACATCACCCTGCTGGCTTGGCTCACTCGAAGCGAGCAAGCCCACCCACATTCGAGTCCCGGAGGTGACACGCGGTGCTTAGAGATTTTCCTTCTATAAATATATACCTTCAAGGGCTAGTCCTAGATGGTCTCCCTTTTTAAATCATCCAATCAGGAATTACTTCAATGTTTGAGATAATCAACTACCCTCTTTGTTCCTAAATAGAAGTCTTTTAAGAGATTCCACTATAGACTACATACGAAACAAAATGAGTGAACTTATACTTTAAAAGGCGTCAATATACATCCAAATGTAGTCTCTATAGTGAAATCTCTACGAAGACTTATATTTAGGAACGGATGGAGTAGAACCTTGCGCTCCCTAGAAAAAAGGTTCTAGCATTGCACCTATAAATGCATAGTTAATCACTTAATTTTCACCATATAATCATCCTTTACTTCATGCTCCATTTGCAAATATATATGGCAGGGGCAAACAATTACAATCTTTTCCTCCATTAACAAAATAACTTTACAATAAATAATTTGTGTTTTTCTACAACAAAGGCACAACGAGTTCCACATGATCGTTCATTACAGCCTCTAATGTAATGATGCATCATCACAGATAGAAAGAAATAAAGCCCACGGCACAACCACCATTCTTCTCACGATAACTGCATCAAACCGCCATGTTCGTCTGGAAGCTAGAAAGATCAACTCGTGTTGGCATCCTTTGCGCTGTTGTCAGACAGCAATGTGTTTGGCATTGTCAATGATACATACTACACTTTACAGTAAAATAATTTGTGTTACATGGTGAGTGGAATGGAAACAAACTGCACATACATACTAAACTATACTTGATGAATGCTAGCCATTTGCTCCACCAACTCTAGCATATGACAGAGACAAACACTGGACCATTGTCAATCCTGGCAACTGCTGAATGATTTTTATTTTATTTTTTTATCTGTTCCAACTTCCAACTTTTATTTGACCGCAATTAAATACGATGCTCGCAATATTGCAATTATCCAGGCCACCGCATCTTGACAATGAGATACACTACTAGTACATTTTTTCATTAACCTTACACTATGAATGAACACCACCAACATCAGTAACACAACAAAACAGGGGCTAGATCCTCTGTTTCTGTCTGATCCTCTGTTTTCTGAGTGCCGTCCTAGCTGGGGAATCTCGGCCATTTTGGTTTCCGGTTTCTATGTCTGTTACTACGCCGGTACCTGCTTTCTCAAATTTGAAGGCCTGGGCATCAACATTATGTTTCTTTACCTTGTGTTTTTTTCTTTTTTGACGATGGAATCAGAGATGGCCATTATTCTGCAAGTCAATGGTACATAGCAGGGTCAGATGATGAAACAATTTTTTTCTCCTCATCAACAAGCTAACTTTACAGTAAATAATTTGTGTATTTGTGTTACACGGAGAGTGGAACTGGAAGGAAACGAACTGCATACGTACGACTAAAGTCACTAAAGTGTACCTTAAGAACAGTTAGAACATCTAGCAAGACAGGGAGATAATTAACACAAACTGTCTCTTTTGTACCCTCTTCCCTCCATGTGGATGTGGTCAATCCTCGCAAGTGCTGAATGCTTTCTTTCTTTTCTTCTATGTTCCAACTTTTGATTTGAACGCAGTTAATACGATGCTGAAAAGTTGCAATTGTTCAGGCCACTGTTCCTGTATGAGTTGTAGACCGAACATGCAATTTGCTACTCTAATGTCAACAAGAATTAAATTTGACAATCAGATACTCCCTCCGTCCCAAAATAACTTTACAGTAAGTATATTTTTTATCTTCGTTAACAAACTAACTTTACAGTAAGTATTCTGCGTTACATAGAAAACTGAAAACAAACCGCATATACTGTACGTGACTAGACTGTATCAAATGAACAGCTAGCCATTGACTCCCGCAGCTAGGATGAAAATGGGGTCAATCCTGCCGAACGCTCTCTTTTCCTTCTCTGTTTTGTCCACAATCAGTTTGACTGCAGCTAATGCAATGCCGAAAAATCGCAATATTCAGCACACTGCAGCTTGACCAGAATAGTATCCTTGTCATATCAGATGTTGACTGAGCATGAAATCTGCTCCTATAATTATCAATAACAATTAGATTCAGCAATGATAAACACCACTAACACCAATTGTACAACAAACCAGGACTAGCACTACCTAAGAAGAACATGGGCTGGTTCTTTCTGAGATCCCAATCCACCATGCTTGCACTTGCAGTCTTCCTGCTCCTGCTCGCACAAACCACAGTAGGATGGTCCAAACCTGATTCATGGAGGACGCGTGATCGAGGAGGATGCATCGCGAGGGAGAGGGAGGCCCTGCTGTCCATCAAAGCCGGCATCACAGCGGACCCGGAGCGCCTCCTCTCGTCGTGGCGAGGGAAAGACTGCTGTCACTGGGAGGGCGTCAGCTGCAGCAACATGACCGGCCATGTCATTGAGCTTGACCTTCATGCACGGTACATCCGGTCTTCCCTGGAAGGTGAGATCAGTTCTTCTCTGAAAACCCTGCAGCATCTGCAACACCTCGACCTTGGTGGAAACTACCATCTCACCGGGCCTCAAGGCGGCCTTCCAGACTTCGTAGGGTCTCTTAGTGACCTGCGGTACCTCAACCTTTCGGGCCTGAATTTTTCTGGCATGGTGCCCCATCAGCTTGGCAACCTCTCGAGGTTGCGATACCTTGATCTGAGATCTTATGGTCTGCACTCAGAAGATCTCACGTGGCTGTCACAGCTCTCTTTGCTCAAGCATCTTGACATGAGTTTTGCGAACCTCAGCGCCGTGATAGGCTGGGCTGACACAGTGAACATGCTGTCCTCTCTTGAGGTCCTCAGGCTATCAACATGTTCGCTTATTACCACAAACCACTATATGCCTCGCTCGAATCTCACCAGGCTCAAGATCCTCGACCTCTTTCGGAACTCCATTGAAATGCAGTTTGACGCTATTAGCTGGGTTTGGGATGCAAGCAGCCTGAAATATCTCAACCTTGAGTCCAATCATATATATGGCGTGTTTCCTGCACAACTGGGAAACTTGACCTCACTTGAAGTCCTTCAGCTGAGGGAGAACCATATAAAGGGAATGATACCAGACACACTGACCAGCCTTTGCAGCCTGAGAATATTTGAATTGGCATATAATGATGTTCAAGGGGACGTGACGGAGTTCATCGAGAGGTTACCAAAATGTTCATGGAGTCAGTTGCAGGAGCTGCATCTGGGCCACAATAACATAACTGGCTCGTTGTCAGACTGGATCGGCCACATGACTAGCTTGAGCTCTCTTGATCTCAGTTTCAACAGGCTTACAGGACCTCTGACCACTGTGATAGGCACGCTTTCTAACCTGATTTATCTGAACATAGGGTACAATCAGATGGATGGTCTCATCACTCAAGAGCACTTCTCCAAGCTTACAGAGTTGCAGGAGCTGCACTTATCTGGAAATTCCTTTACCATGAAGCTGAACTCTGACTGGATCCCTCCAAGGAGATTGCTCACACTGGGATTAAGATCATGCTATCTTGGGCCGAGATTTCCTCAGTGGCTCAAATCACCAAAGAATATCTCCTCCCTTTATATGTCCAATGCCAGCATAGCTGATACCATGCCTGATTGGTTTTGGACTGTGTTTAGAAAGGCTGACGTTTTGGACCTCTCAAACAATAACATCAGTGGCACATTACGAGCTACTCTTGGACAGATGGACACCAGTTTCTTAGATCTAAGCTCGAATCAGTTCATTGGTCCGGTAGAACAGCTGCCTCAGAATATAATGGGACTAGATCTCTCAAGAAACTCCCTGTCAGGGGCTCTGCCATTAAATGTCAGATGGCCATTATTCATAGACAGTTTGCTTCTATTTGACAACCATTTCACGGGCACTATCCCAGCATCGTTATGCCAAATGAAGTCACTGACATTGCTTGACATTAGAAACAATATGATAACAGGTCAGTTCCCTCGATGTTCAGAAAATGTGGCGTCAAGTTCAGGAATGGTGCCACCTAACACAGCCTCTCCAGATAGTGATTCAAGCTCTGAGATATCACTGTCTATGTCAATTAAAACTCTGAGGCTCAACAACAATAGCCTCTCGGGTGAATTCCCTCTGTTATTACAGAATTGCCCAGAACTAACTTTTATCGATCTTGGGCAAAATAAGTTTTTTGGAAGTATACCACCTTGGATTGGTGAGAAATTACCACGGCTGAAATATCTGCGCCTCAGGTCCAACATGTTTTCTGGCTGTATACCTACCCAACTTAGAGGACTTCGATATCTCCAATATTTGGACCTAGCACACAACAACTTATCAGGTACTATACCTCGATCCCTGCTAAACATGGATGGCGTGACCACAGAATTAGCAGCTCGGGATTACCCATCCAGCACTTCCAGCGACATGGCTACAGTAGATGATGGCATTACTGTAGTAGATGACCCCCAACATCCTGGTGGTGGGTATGAGTATGCTATGATTGCTAGCATATTTGTAGTCACAAAAGGGCAAGGGCGCGAATATATTGGTCGATTCATAGACATGGTGAGTCTTGATTTATCCTGCAATCATTTAACTGGAAATATCCCCGAAAGCATAGGTCCTGCAGCAGGTTTAGTGAATATGAATCTGTCTTTGAACCACTTGACCGGAAAAATCCCAGAGAACATTAGCTCCATGCACTCACTGGAATCACTTGACCTCTCCAGCAACCAGCTCTCTGGCGAAATCCCTCCGGGCCTATCCGATCTAACATCACTAAGCTATCTGAACTTGTCCTACAACAAATTATCAGGAAGGATACCGTCGGGGCACCAGCTCGACACACTCAACCCTTCCGACCCCGCATCCATGTACATTGGCAACCCTGGCCTCTGCGGGCCTCCTCTTAAGAAGAGCTGTCCGGGAGACCACACAGCAGAAAGCCACTTCACAGCGAGCAAAGAAGGATCCGAGGCGATGCCCTTCTGTTTCGGGCTAAGCGTGGGCTTCGTGGTTGGCCTCTGGGTGGTGTTCTGCTCCCTTCTCTTCAAGAAAACATGGAGGGCCTCCTATTTCCGGCTCTTTGATGCGGTTTTTGATAAAATTTATGTGCTTGTGGTTGTGAATTGGGCGAGGATGACGAGGAAGCAAACCACCACAGATTGAGCAGGTTCAGCCGCAACCACAGTGGTATCAGCATTCAGTCCACTACAATAAACAAGTGCTGATTGCTGAAGTTGTGATTTCTCTATAGATGGATGGAAGGAGCTACTATTTACTTGTTCATGTATCCGTAGTCTTATTTGGTTTATCAGACTTGTTAAATTCATAGTGCTGAGCATTTGTATTCTTCGGAACATGCCAATTTGTAAAATATTTGCCCATCTGCAACTGTAATTTGCAATCTATTTGACTCGTATGCAACTGTGTTTGCATCGTGTGACCCGTGAGTGGTGCAGTAATAAAAGGGGGCCTGTTAATACCATGAGCAGAAGCGAGGTGGAACCCAGGCTGGGGTGGGCGAGTGATTCAACGGAATCCGGTGGCGGCGACGGCGAGGGAGGCGGACCTGAGGGAGTCAGACGAGTCGCCGGCCGCTCCCCGCTCGCGCGCATGACGTGGCCGTCCGGCCTCCAGAGCCCCGCATCAGGGACGGGGTGGCTTGGAGGGCGCGAGCTCGCTCGCCTCCGCCGCGCCGGAGCCGGATGGCCGCCTCGCCTTCTCGGTCCTGTGAGTCGCCGTGGCTAAGCCATCTGTGGCTAATGTGTCAGTGTGTGGGCCCACGCAGGCCCAAGGAACATAGGTAGGGCATCTTTTCAACACGACCCTGCTCCGGCGTCTGTTCGCGGACAGGGGCTCCCGCATCTGTTCGCGGACAGGGGATCAGTGGGTGAACACTCATGCCGAAAACCGCTGGCTGCATACATTTTAAACAATTGTTATAACATGATGAAATTTATGTAAATATGGCGGATTTTTATATAAACCGAATGATATTTATGCAAACATGATAGATTTTCATTACATTTAAAATATTTAGAACAAAAGAAACCTGACCCTAAACCTATCCTATGGTGGCGGCCGTCATCCACTTTCTTTGTATCCCGCATCGGCAACCACGTCCTTCATCTACCGTCTCCATGAGCGACAACGAGGTTTAAGACCCGTGAAATGAAGGTGTGCTCTCCGGTGAGGAACAATAGAGCATGAGAGACGATCCAGCCTACTTGGGATACAATGCCCTGCCACCTTCAATGCCTTACTCATCCTCAGAGAAGCCCGCGACATGTCTGTCCTCGACCCCGGTGGACGTGAGGTCGATGATGCTCGTGGACGGTTCGTCACTATCCACCTACCACTTGCGCCCCCAAAAGTGGACGGCACCGCGTAGGATGCGCAGCTGGCGGCCGCGTCTGCGTCTGGCTGCGCCGGTACTTCGTTGCGAGCAGCGGACGCGGCCTTGTAGATCGCACGCCGCTCCGCCGCGAAGTTCGGGCTCGCCGCCGCCATGGCGGCCACGACCTCCTCGCTTGCGCGCTCGCCGTTGGCCCTCCGCATCCGGTGCTACTCGAGGAGGAACAAGTTGTACCTCCAATCCTTCTGCACTTGCCGATGATACTTCTCCAATGTATCTATAATTTATGAAGTATTCATGCCATGTTTGCAACAATTTTATATGGTTTTGGTATGATTTTATAAGAACTAACCCGGACTAATGTTGTTTTCAGCAGAACTACCGTGGTGTCATTTTTTGTGCAGAAATAAAAGTTCTCGGAATGTGCTGAAAATTTACGGTGATTTTTTATGGACCAAAAGAGACCCCCGAAGCATCGGAGTTGGGCCAGGAAGTGACCGAGGAGGTCATAAACCTAGGGGACGCGCACACCCCCCAAGGGCGTGCCCCCTGGTTTGTGGGTCCCTCGGGTGCCCCCTTGACATGAGACCGCCGCCAAAATTTCCTATAAATACCAAAAAAACGAAAAGAACCAGAGATCGGAAGTTCCGCCCTTTGTAGACACGAAAAAACAATCGGGAGCCCATTCCAGCACCCTGCCAGAGGGGGACACCTCACCGAAGGCCATCTTCATCATCCCGACGGTCTCCATGACGAGGAGGGAGTAGTTCATCCTCGGGGCTGAGGGTATGTACCAGTAGCTATGTGTTTGATCTCTCTCTCTATCTCTATCTCGTGTTCTTGATTTGGCATGATCTTGATGTACCGCGAGCTTTGTCAATATATTTGGATCTTATGGTGTTCTTCCCTTTCTACCTTGTGATGAATTGAGTCTTGCTCTTTGAGGTTTCGTTATGTTGGATTGAGTATTGGACTTGAGAACATTTGATGTATGCCTTGCGACGGGATATCTGTGGTGACAATGGAATGTTCTATTGATTCACTTGATGTATATTTTGGCACTCAACTCAACTCGCGGATTCCCGAGGTGACATTGGGGAAATCTATGCATAGGGGTTGATGTGTTTTCGTCCTACGTTCTCGGATAGAAATTTTGGACTGATTCTTTATTGCACGTTGAGGGATTGTTATATGGTCCAATTATGCTATCATTGTTGAGAGACTTTGCACTAGTGAAAGTATGAACCCTAGGCCTTGTTTTCAAGCATTGCAATACTGTTTTTGCTCACTTTTGTTACTAGTTACCTTGCTTTTTTTATATTTTCAGATTACAAAAAGCTATATCTATTATCCATATTACACTTGTGTCACCATCTCTTCGCCGAACTAGTGCACCTATACAATTTATCATTGTATTGGGTGTGTTGGGGACACAAGAGACTCTTTGTTATTTTGTTGCAGTGTTGTTTGAGAGAGACCATATTTCATCCTACGCCTCCCACGCATTGATAAACATTAGGTCATCCACTTGAGGGAAAATTGCTATTGTCCTACAAAACTCTACGCTTGGAGGCCCAACATGAGTCTACAAGAAGAAAGGTTGCATAGTATACATCACCAGAGCACCGATATAGGAGCCGACGTGGGCTCCTTCTCCTCCGCCACGATAGTGTCATAGTGCGTCTGCGACTTTTCCATGGTAAGGCCAACATGCAGCAGTGCGGGGTCCGGCGCCGTGTCGTTGTCGGAGCCCATGGGGTCATCGTCAAAGACCTCGGGCAAGCTGATCGACCGGCATGCGCTGCTCGATCTGCCTGACACGATAGGACTGCTAGGCGGCTTCAAGGGCGGCCACGTCATGCTTCATCTCCGGCAACAGACTATCCCACGGAGCGTTCCTGTTCGCGGTCATGGCAGATGTGGAGCAAAGGGAGGAGGATGTGTGGTGGTGTGAAGTTAGGCGGGTGTGGCCGCCTTTAAATAGCGGACTCCGGTGAGGCCAAGCGTTCGGGTGCGTCAATGTGCGGAGCTGGAGTTGCTTCCTGAAAGTGCAACTAATCCTTGGGTGGTTTTGGTAATTCATAACAACATATAGCTCATCGAACTAATATACTTTCAAGTGAAATACTTCAGGAAGTTCAATGATTGGCATGTCATGGACTAGAGATGTGGACCCCTCAAAATGCTAAGGACAAAGATTGACAAAAGCTAAAGACTCTTCATTTCTATTTTAGTGATCCAAGATCACATTGAGTCCATAGGAAAGTCAATACTATTAAAAGGGGATGAGGTGTTGCTTAATGGTCTACTTTCTGAAAGTTCTTAGTGATATTGCTCCAAAGCCCTCAACCACTTTGTCATTTCCAAATATGTCCAAAACTCAAAGTCAAACTCGGCCACACCGATTTGATCTATCCGGCGCCACCGAGTTCATTTGACATGGCCACTGCCAGAAACCCTAACGATTCGGTTGTTGGGAAACGTAGTAATTTCAAAAAAAATCCTACGCACACGCAAGATCATGGTGATGCACATCAACGAGAGGGGAGAGTGTTGTCCACGTACCCTCGTAGACCGAAAGCGGAAGCATTAGCACAACACGGTTGATGCAGTCGTACGTCTTCACGGCCCGACCGATCAAGCACCGAAAGCACGACACCTCCGAGTTCTTGCACACGTTCAGCTCGATGACGTCCGTCAAACTCCGATCCAGCCGAGTGCCGAGGGAGAGTTCTGTCAGCATGACGGCATGGTGACGATGATGATGTTCTACCGACGCAGGGCTTCGCCTAAGCACCACTACCATATTATCGAGGTGGACTATGGTGGAGGGGGGCACCGCACACGGCTAAGAGTTCCAAGGGATCAATTGTTGTGTCTATGGGGTGCCCCCTCCTCCGTATATAAAGGAGGAGAGGAGGGGGCCGGCCAGGAGGAGGAGGCGCGCCCAAGGGGGGAGTCCTACTCCCACCGGAGTAGGACTCCTCATTTTCCTACTTGGAGAGGGAGAGGGAAGGAAGAGGAAGAAGGGAGGAAGGAAAGGGGGGGCTCCCAATTCGGATTGGGCTTGGGGGGGGGCCCTCCCTTGCTCCTTTCCCCTCCTTTCCACTAAAGCCCATTAAGGCCCATATACCTCCCGAGGGGGTTTCGATAACCTCCCGGTGCTCCGGTATTATCCCGATCTCACTCGGAACCATTCCGGTGTCCAAATATAGTAGTCCAATATATCCATCTTTATGTCTCGACCATTTCGAGACTCCTCGTCATGTCCGTGATCACATCCGGGATTCCGAACTACCTTCGGTACGTCAAAACATATAAACTCATAATATAACTGTCATCTAACTTTAAGCGTGTGGACCCTACGGGTTCGAGAACTATGTAGACATGACCGAGACATGTTTTCGGTCAATAACCAATAGCGGAACCTGGATGCTCATATTAACTCCCACATATTCTACGAAGATCTTTATCGGTCAAACCGCATAACAACATACGTTGTTCCCTTTGTCATCGGTATGTTACTTGCCCGAGATTCGATCATCGGTATCTCAATACCTAGTTCAATCTCGTTACCGGCAAGTCTCTTTACTCGTTCCATAATACATCATCCCGCAACTAACTAATTAGTTGTAATGCTTGCAAGGATTATACTGATGTGCATTACCGAGTGGGCCCAGAGATACCTCTCCCACAATCGGAGTGACAAATCCTAATCTCAAAATACGCCAACCCAACAAGTACCTTTGGAGAAACATGTAGAGCACCTTTATAATCACCCAGTTACGTTGTGATGTTTGGTAGCACACAA